TGTATAATATTATGTATTATTTATTTATTTTAGTTATTTATTTAATATTTATTTATTATTTATTTATTTATTAGTTATTTATTTTCGTTATAAAATTTTTCAGGACATTTTTATTGTTTTTTTAATAATAATTTAATTTTTATTACTAATTCTATTTTTTAATACTAATAATACCTTTAATACTAATTGAGTTTTTCAATAGTAATAACGCTTTTAATACTAACTGAATTTTTACAAATAATTTAATTTTTTATTACTAATAATACCTTTAACACTAATTTAATTTTTAATACTAATAAAATTTTTATACTAACTTAATTTTTTAATACTAATAATACTTTTAATAATATTTTCAATCCCACTAATACTAATTCAATATATTGAACGAACAACATATAATAGAAGATAGGTACAAAAAATTGTACATATGGTACAAAAATGTTCAAATAAATACTAATAAATAAATAAATTCTCGATAACGTAGTGCATGATGATTTTAAAAAATTCTATAATAAAAATTCAAAATATTTAACGCACATTATAAAAGATGGGTAATAATCAAGAAATAAATAAGAAAGAAGAAAACTAAAACTAAGAAATAAATAAGAAGAAAAAGAACAAGCACAGCCCGCGGTGAGGTAGCGGGGCTGTAAGACGCGGTCGCTGCTACCACACAACCATACACGCTGGTGAAAGTTTGGCTGAGATTAGAATTTGAACGAAATTTGTAAGTTAATTCAAACGAAAATGGCAGTTGTACATGAGTGGAAAGTTGTACAAAAGTTGTACAAAAGTTCGGTCAAGAATCAGGTTGTTCGAGCAAAAGTGATAAGTGAAACACTTACCATTACCAATTTCTTAAGTGGTAACTTGAGTATTTTGGTAATTTGAGTATAATTTAAGTGGTAAGTGGTAGCTACTTAAATTAGGTAGTTAGCTACCATTTTCTTAAGTGGTAAGTTACTTTAATCGGAAGTCTTTTGTTAATGCAGAAGTTCGGACAAGAATCAGTTTTTTTCTAGCGAAAGTGACAAGTGAAACAACTAATACTTTCTTAAGTGGTAGCCTAACTAAAGAAAGGAAGCTACTTTAAGTGGTATGTACTTAACTACTACTGCTACTACTCAACTACTGGTCAGAACTACTGGTCAGAACTACTGGTCAGAACTACTGGTCAGAACCACTGGTCAGAACTACTGGTCAGTTTCCTCCACAATCCACCAGTCGTCAGGTTGAGTTCACTTCAAAATGTCACCTAAATACTGCAAATAATGAATCAGTTCCACGCATTGAAATAAGTGGGACTTTTTCTAAATACCGAGGCATTTTTTTGCTATTATGTGAGTCAACCTGACCCAGTTTTGCCATTCAACAGGGCGTATCAGAGCTACGTGCACAGAGTGTGTCACTATTTAGACAGTTTGACACGTGTATTTTCCTCTGCCAAATTCCACCCTGCAGTTGCGTGCCGGTCAAGGGATATTTACAGGCCCGCAATGCAAGCTTTGGAGTTCATATTTTCAGGGTAAACTGTTTACAATTAAACTAATTTTAATAAAACTACTTCAAAATAGTTTGACTAAAACTTGCAGACTTGTATTTATTTTCAGGCATTTGTGTAATTCTACATTTTCTTAGTTTGTCAGAAACTTGTAGGTTTGGACGCCTGCTTATCATTTTCTGTTTTTATGGTATTTTAACCATGTGGAATCCTATAGACTATAGAGTATCTCTCTGTAGGATTCTCTCGTTAGAATCCGCTTGGCTGTTCTAATGTAAAAAGTCTATCATTGTATGCGTCAAGAATTTGTAATATTCTAAGAAGAGAAGATCTTCAAAAGACGTTAGAACAGACTAGACGAAGCTATGCAGGAGCATATGTTCAGTCTTAAAATGCCTAGCAAATTACGGACCAGGCAATAAGTCCAGCAGCTATCTCAATCAATCATCAGCTATGGAAAGATCGGGTTCCAAAGGCCGGATCCCTTGTGAATCAAGTCACGAAAAGTTCAAGAATCGGCAACAGGCCATGGCCTATTTCTTCAGTGCCGACTCTTCTATTGTATCAGACAGCGCGGGAAGTTTAGTATAGCTCTTCTCATCTTTAGTTTGTGCACATCGTAAGTTAACCAGGAATATATAAGCGAAGAAAATACCGAGTAAATTCATTACATCTTCATTGAAGACGTTTTGGAGGCCAGCTCCATCATCTGTACAAATAAATCATGTAGAATCCGCGTGAAATCAGATGTGAAAATCTAAGTTTACAAGAAATAGATTAGGTTACTCCTGCCCGTCGCGAGGGAGGGGGCGGTCCAGTGTGGAATTTTAAAGTTCCGCGTCAAATCTGTTCAATCAGCTTCTTAGTATTGGTTTGTAATTCCTATGTCTGAAGACTATTGCACTTTCCGATTAAATCTACATGTTTCTACCTTTGTACTTTCTGACAAATCTTCATGTTTCTACCTTTGTACTTTCTGACAAATCTTCATGTTTCTACCTTTAAGGCCGGATCCCTTGTGAATCAAGTCACGAAAAGTTCAAGAATCGGCAACAGGCCATGGGCCTATTTCTTCAGTGCCGACACTTCTATTCTATTAGACAGCGCGGGAAGTTTGGTATAGCTCTTCTCATCTTTAGTTTGTGTACATCGTAAGTTAACCAGGAATATATAAGCGAAGAAAATGCCAAATAAATTCATTACATCTTCATTGAAAACGTTTGGAGACCAGCTCAATATCGGTTTAAATAAATCGTGTAGAATTAGCGTAAAATCAGCTGTGAAAATCCGAATTTACAATAAATAGATCACGGTCACTGCTGCCCGTCGCGAGTAAGGGGTTGTCCAGGGTGGAATTTTACAGTTCCGCGTCGAATCTGTTTAATCAGTTTCTTGGTATTGGTTTGTAATTCCAATGTCTGAAGACTATTGCACTTTCCGATTAAATCTACATGATTCTACCTTGTTCTTTCTGACAAATCTCCATGTTTCTACCTTTGTACTTCCTGACAAATCTCCATGTTTCTACTTTTGTACTTTCTGACAAATCTTCATGATTCTACCTTTGTACTTTCTGACAAATCTTCATGATTCTACCTTTGTACTTTCTGACAAATATTCATGTTTCTACCTTTGTACGTTCTGACAAATCTTCAGGTTCCTATAAAATGTCTGCATGCTTCAATCCATCTTTGTCACTCCCTAGACTTGCTCCTTCTAGAAGAAGGCGAGCTTTCTTTTTTTTCAACCCCCCTTCAATTCTGCTTTCTAGTGGTTTCTACTCTTTGCAGAAAGTAGAATGGCACACTCTGATAGCTAGTGACCATATCTATATCCAGAAGGCGAAACGGCAATTTTCTAGATTAGGCGACCATATCTAGAGAGCAAAACGGCCCCTTCTAGGAAGGCTGTGACTCTTCCGAGAAAGTAGAATGGCATTCTGAAAGGCAGGGACCATATCTAGAATGCAAAACTGCTCATTCTAGAAGAGAGTGTCCATTCAATGACGGCAGAATAGCTCTTTCTAGAAAAGTTTAACCCTATTAGACCCCAGCCTCAAAAAGCTCTTTAATAAAACTCCAATCTTCTTATTTAAAGATCTATTAAAGATCTATTATATTATCTATTAAATATCTTTTTCACACTTCCAACATGCATGATTTTCTTGGTCCAAGGTTGGAATTTTAAGGGGTGACATTAAAGCAAAACTAACACGGGAAAGAGTAAGACTTTGTACGAATATTGAGACTGTATGACTATTGCGACTGTATGACTATTGTGACTGTATGACTATTGTGACTGTATGACTATTGTGACTATGACTATTGAGACTGTATGACTATTGAGACTGTATGACTATTGAGACTGTATGACTATTGCTGTGTGACTATTGAGACTGTACGACTATTGAGACTGTATGACTATTGAGACTGTATGACTATTGAGACTGTATGACTATTGATGTGTGACTATTGAGACCTGTCTCTTATACACATCTAGATGTGTATAAGAGACAGATTGAGACTGTATGACGATTGAGACTGTATGACGATTGAGACTGTATGACGATTGAGACTGTATGACCATTGAGACTGTATGACCATTGAGACTGTATGACTATTGAGACTGTACTCCTATTGAGACTGTACTCCTATTGAGACTGTACTCCTATTGAGACTGTACTCCTATTGAGACTGTACTCCTATTGAGACTGTACTCCTACTGAGACTGTACGTCTATTGAGACGAAAAGTGAAACTTCGTATATATATTTGTATGTGTCCTTTGTAATTTTTTTCATTAATTAAAACACGAGGACTAGGAGGGTAGTACAATAATTATTGTAGCGTTTTTTATTTGCTTTGAAACAGCCAGAGCAACACTAAGCCCCTGGGGGGACTGTAGAACGATGTATCCTCCAACGCTCCTCGGAAACTCGGAAAGTTTCAGACAAGACGTCAGCTTCTTGACGTCTTTTCTGAAAACTGTAAATGTTTTTCATTACTGTAACTGTAAATGTTCATTCTAGTAAATGTTTTTAGGCGGCGTGTATGACCGATTTGAAGGTCGTGACCGTAGGTCACCACGCACCCCAATTTCAATTACAATTCCGCTGACTGCTACGGGTATAATCAAAATTTTAGTGTGCGCAGAGCCGCCCTATAGAGGTTAGCGTGTCGCACTAGTCAGGCTTGTCGCACTAGAGACTTGCTTGTCGCACTAGAGACTTGCTTGTCGCACTAGAGACTTGCTTGTCGCACTAGAGACTTGCTTGTTGCACTAGAGACTTGCTTGTCGCGTTAGAGGCATCTATTATCTAGTATGTGCAGTGCTACATATAGTTTTATATTGCTATTCTTTCTATTACATCAACTTTCGATGAATCAAATATTACTGACTGCCTTTTACGTAATTGTTTGTTCCGTTTACAACTTAGTAAATCTGTAATCTGACTGTCGTCTCAACAGAAAAGTATTTTAATAAAAGATTTTGCAAACGGAGCGAAATAAATGAAAATTTGAATTCAAAATTGACAATGAAGCGAACGGATCCGTGGGATGAGACGGATCGGTCGGAGCAAACAGATCGGTCGGAGGAAACTGATCGGTCGGGGCAAACAGATCGGTCGGGGCAAACGGATCGGTCGGAGCAAACGGATCGGTCGGGGCAAACGGATCGATGGTCGGAGCGAACGGATCAGACAGAACTGCAAATCCTGCAACAAGAGCGACAGGAACAGGAGGAGTTCTATGGCTTTTTTATGTCCCGCTTTTTCGGCGAGCAAGAAGGTGAGATTTTCCCGATTATTTTTGTGACTGTACAGGTTTTTGAACGGCTCAGTATTATCTTGGTTTGCCACATGTACACCATATGGGTCAACAGCACTGATTTCTTTACTGGTTTTGCTTTATTTGTACAATGTTGTAGCCACATAACAATGTCATGCACACTCAGAGTAAGATAGCATCAATGCGGGCCCCATATGTTGAAACCGTAATGCCACCTCATTTCCACATTGTCGCATAGGCCCCTCATGGGCCCATTGTAGAATTGTTACTAGGGTTTAGCTCGTATGGGTTTAGGGTTCAGTGGTTAAAGTTCAGTGGTTAAAGTGGTTAAAGTTCAGTGGTTAAACCAGTGGTTAAAGTTCAGAGTACCAAGATTGATGCAGTGAGGTGCGGGTTCGATCCCAGCTCTGTGCGCCAGTTTCTGGTCAGAATCGGCGAGGAGGCCGGGCGGTTAAGCACAGCAGAATTGTAGCAGTGAGTTGCGTGTTCGAGACTGCAACAAGCTGTGAATATTCTGCGATGTTAAGAATCGGCGACAGGCCTACGGCCTAATAAACGCTGAAACCGCTATTATTTATATTATATATTATTATGACACTCAGAAGTATGAACGAGTAATATTGTCCAAACTGGAATGATACGCCGCCCTTATGCCGGGTCAAACTGGATCAAAATGACCCATACAAGAACAAAATGTGAATCGCGTTTTGGACAAAGCCTCACTTATTTCTCTCCGCTGGTGATTATTTACTTGCATTTATTGAAGATCATCGAAATTATCTAAATATTGATCATTAACCTAGAGTAGGAGCATAAATATTGAATAAGACCTTGGGGATAGATGCCATTGTATTGTAAATTAATAAAATTAAATTATTTTAAATATTTAATCGTTAACCAAGGTTACAAACTTAATATTAATTTAACCTTGGGGAAAGATGCCCTTGTATGGGTCATCCTGACCCAGTTTGGCCCGGCAAAAACACGCTCCAGTTCTTCGTCCGCTCTCTGCCTGTGTTGCGGGTTCGAAAGCGTCCCACTATTTGGACAAAATTACCCACTAATTGTCTACGGTGCATATATTACGTAGAAAATTAGGCATTTTTACGTAGAAAATGTTATATATATTACGAAATTTTTATATATATTGCGTAGAAAATTATTTAATTTGCGTAAATAAAGTTAACGATGCAAGCAACAACACTGAGACAAATGAGCGGGTGTTTGGACAAATAGCGATGCAATTCTTGCCTTAAGTGGGTCACCGCGACCCAGTTTTGCCAGGTGAAAAGTGCGTATCATTGATACGTGGAGCAAGTGTGTCTTAATTTGGGCAATGTGACCCATTGCTTTGACTGAGTGTATAGGAACCGATGATGGGCGACGATGATGGGCGACGATGATGATGGGCGACGATGATGATGGGCGACGATGATGATGGGCGACGATGATGATGGGCGACGATGATGGGCGACGATATAAAATTTGGGACATTCCAGAGATATTGACAATTCATTTAATGAATATTTTCAAAGGAATGATGGATTTTGTCGCGAGTTCTTCGCTTTGCTTGTTCTCTGTTAATTCAATTAATAAGTATAAAATATTTAATAATAAATGAATAAAATTTTATTTAACTAATAATAATAATTTTAGTAATTCAAACAATCGCGTGGCATTTATACCTGACGAACTTCAATTTAGTAAAAGTAATGCGTTAGTTTTTTGCACTAAAAGCATTTATTATTTTGCATTTTTATTACTAATATATATTTATTATTCAGTTACATTTTATTTTTTCATAACCTCAACCTTCCCACTGCCCCCAGAGGGCAGCCTCTCCCCCCTCCAGCTGGGGGGCCTCCCCCGCCCCCTCACCAGCACCCTCCGTAGCGACGACGGGGCCCCAGTGCAGTACCGCGGGGGGCGCCGCCCCCTGGACCTCACCCAGCGCCCCCTGCCTGAGGATGTCGACGTGGACCCCGCGGGGGGCTACCAGAGGTCCTACCTCTTCCTCCCCGAGACGCCCGTCAAGTTCGGCGGCGCCCCCATCGGGACAAGTTCGTTCTTTGGGGAACTTTTTTAATTTCGTTTTTGGGGACTTTTGGTTACCATTTCAATTTTGAAGCTGCAAAACGATAGAAGAACGGCACCCCATCGGACATAGTTTGTTACTTTTTGCATTTTTTAGGCAGAATTTTTTTCTCCTGTCGATGACACACTAGTCGCCGCTCAACAGATGCTACACTAGCCTAGTTCTGCATTTCTCATAGTTACCCTTCTGCCAGTTGATACGGTGTCAGTCCTGGTGCTGTTCATCTACACTAGTTCTGCATCTCTCATAGTTACCCTTCTGCCAGTTGACACAGTGTCAGGCCTGGTGCTGTTCAGCTACACTAGTTCTGCATCTCTCATAGTTACCCTTCTGCCAGTTGACACAGTGTCAAGCCTGGTGCTGTTCAGCTACACTAGTTCTGCATCTCTCATAGTTACCCTTCTGCCAGTTGACACAGTGTCAGGCCTGGTGCTGTTCAGCTACACTAGTTCTGCATTTCTCATTGTTACTCCTTCTACCAGTTGACACGGTGTCAGGCCTGGTACTGTTCAGCTACACTAGTTCTGCATTTCTC